TATTTTTAAATAAATTAATAATTTCCTACTTTTCACAATAAATATGAAATAAGCATCACTAAGTATAATTTATGCATTCATTCAACCTTTATTTAGACAAGTTAGTCTCATTGAGTCACAAGGACTCATTTTCAAGAGAGACCTGTTTAAAAAAAACACAGATGAGATACACACAACAATTAAACAGTCATAAAAAGCACATAAAATAAAAAGTAAAGAAAAGTAATGATATAAAACAAACAAAAACTACATTATGAAACAGGGTAAAATATTAAAAACAGAAACATGTCTGCATTTATTTTTGCATTGAACTTAATTGTTGAAAATTCCTTAGAAAGGTCAAAGTCGAGAGCTTCAGATCTTTTTGCTGGTGTTCCAGGAAACAGAGCAGAGTAAGAGAAGGCCCTATTGCCAAATTCAGACTGCACTGAGGGGACGCTGCAAGTAATGAGGTCCTGAGATCACATGCTGTAGCTGCACTGACGAAGTAACATGTAGGAGGAGATATATGAAGGCAGCAAACCAAGAAGTGATTTAAAGATGAAAATGTACCAGTGGGAGAGTCTGTATGAAGTTAATTATGACCAATGATTACAGGGTGCAATGGTGGGTATGGTAGTTACAGCCAGTTATGAATCTTAGCACGCCATGGTAAACAGCATCCAACATCTGCAGGGTTCTTGTAGGGGTGTTCATTTAAATAATGTCAACATAGTCAATGGAGGCAAGGCAAGTAGCAGTTACAAGCATTTCCTAGCGTTCAGAGTTAAACAAGATCTTTTTCTGAAAAAGAAACCAAATTTTAATTTCAATTTCTTTTCAAGTTTTCGACATGAGTCTTAAAAGAGAGATGTGACTGATTCCCAAGTATTTGTAAGAATCGACAAACTCAATAGGAACACCATTCGTAGATAAGATAAAAGGAAGGACTGCTGGTACCAACTTCCTGTTTGGAAACAACATCCCTTTGGTTTTATCAGCATGTAGCACCAGTTTGAGATGGAACAAGTCTGACTGAATGATGTCGAATGCAGACTATAAAAGCTGGACAACCTTAGCAACAGATTTAGCTCGACAATAAACAACTGTGTCATCAGCAAAGAAATGTAAGGATGCACCTGAAATGATATGACCTACATTACTTATGTAGATTGTAAAGAGAGTGGATCCTAAGACTGAGCCTTGTGGTACACCATTGTTGACAGTTAAATAACTGGAAGAAGTAACATTGTGTTGAAGACATTGCCTCCAATCTGAGAGATAATTAGAAAACCAACAGATAGTGGGATCTGAGAAACCAATCTCTGAGAGTTTATGACAAAAGGTGTTGTGGTCTACAGCAGGGGTTCCAACTCTTGTTCTTGAG